AAAATCACTTAATATGTACATTCAACTCCAAAATCTGTTATTAAAGCAAAGGAGATGGAAACTATTTAGACAATATGCTTGTGAAAGTGAAGAGAAAGAGGCTTGGAACATCAAAAATATTGAGATCAAACAATGCCCCCAACTTCATTCAATATTCCAAAGATTAAGAGTCCCCTCTGATCATATCCAGGATTATCGCTTTAAAGTGATATTTATGAAACCTAGGTTACGATGTGTATTGAATCTGTCTTCTCACTGTAGGGTCTCCTCTTTTAATAAGCAACTTTCAATCATGTAGCTACTCAGTCAATCCATGGCATAAGCCAACTATAGCAAGTTAACTCCAAGGAGTTAGCCACTTCATTCCAAAAGAAAGGTTTACCTTTCAAATATGATAATGAATAGCACCAACACAACTACCCCCTTTTCCTTCAATAGCAAAACTTTATTTAAAAGAGGTAATCACTTCATCACATATACCACAAGAAGCTATTGTTAAGTACTCTAATAACAAGAGGCCATGGCATTTTTTTTTCAGAAATGTAGATGCCAATTTGCAGAAATTACAGAAGACAGAGAAGCATGCTAAGCTGCGTGATGAATGTGTGGTCAGCAAAACTCAGATTGAAGGAAATGTCATAAACACAGTCTCACTGCCTATTCATATACACTTCAGTTACCACAGTTTAGTTTAAAAAAAAAATTCAGTTCCCCAACAACATGGTTCAAATTTCAGGTACCATGATATATTCAGTGAGTAATCACATAAAGTATAAACTCCATTACTAGCTTCTTAGTTCACAAACCACTACAAACATCAGACACACTTCATGATATGTGAACAGACACGTCTTTCAAAGTCTATCAGTGATGTGTCACCATGCACAAACAGCAAAGCATGTGGTTGTGTGGCCTCTTTGTTTCACAGTGATAAATCTACATATTTTACAAAAATTGATTATCAAAAGAGGGAACTTATTTCAAAGAGAGTGAAACAAAGAAACAAAAAAAAATGATAAGTGAAACTGAAATGAAAGACACACAGAGTTACAGAAGACATAAGTGGCAGTGGGAAATGTTGGACACCACCACCATTCAAGGCTTGAAGTATACAGCCAGAGGAATACAGCAAGGACAAGCAAACAAGGAAGGTAGTTTTGACAAGAAAGAAAAAGATACCCTGAAGGAAGTGATGCTAGCAAAAATGGCAACTAAAGTTACTGCAGGAGCTATTTTTATATCATTAGAAGCATAACGGATAAAATGTTGAAAGCTGATCCAGAATTTCAAAGAAGCATGAAAATTCAGCACAATGTCAAAAGTAGGCTCAACTGTACATCATAAATTATATATCAAGAAGGCAAAAAGAACAAACTTCTCTTGGTAAGTTTTTTTACAAAGAATGAAAGTTTCTTAATGCTTCTAATGCTTTAAATGACTAAAAAATCCATTTTATTTACTTTTTATTTTCATTTCCCTAAATATTTATAATCAACAGCAAGAATTTTTAAAACTCTTAACCAAAATCTTTAAAGGTCATGGAACAAACGTAATTTTTTTTGCCATAAAGACCACTCTGGAAGCAGGCATTGTAGTACAGCAGGTTAAGCCACTGCTTAGGATGCGTACATCCCATATTGACGTGCCTGGGTGCAAGTCCTGCCTCCACTTGCAAACTAGCTTTCTACTAAGGCACGCCCTGAAAGGCAGCACAAGATGGCTCAAACACTTGGCGTCCCTGCCACCCATGTGGGAGACCCAGATGGAGCTCCCTGGCTCCTGGCCTGGGTTTGGCTCGGATGCAGATGCAGATGCTGTAGGCATTTGAGGAATGAAACAGCAAACAGAAGATCTTTATCTGTCACTCTGCCTTTCAAATATAAATAAATAAAGTTTTTTAGAAAAAAAATATTTTTATTTATTTGAAAGAGTTACAGAGAGAAGTAGAGCCAGAGAAAGAGAGAGGTCTTCCATCCAGTGATTAATTCCCAATGACCACAATGACCAGAGCTGAGCTGATCTGAAGCCAGGACCCAGAAGTTTCCTCCAGGTCTCCCATGTGGGTGCAGGGGCCCAAGTTAGGCCATCTTCTACTGCTTTCCCAGGCCACAGCAGAGAGCTAGACTGAAAGAGGAGCAGCCGCATCTCAAACCAGCACCCATATGGGATGTCGGTGCTGCAGGCTGGGGCTTTAACCCACTGCCTCACAGCACCAGCCCCCATAAATAAACTTTTTTTAAAAAGACTACTTTGCAGGGTTTTAGAATGCATGGTCATTTTTATGGTTGGGGACTACTATGTAAAGTATGGGCTATGTATATACCATAAGAGGAAAGGGGCCAGCGCTGTGGCATAGCAGGTAAAGCGCTACCTGCAGTGCCAGCATTCCATACGGAAGTGGCTACTCCACTTCCAATCCAGCTCTCAAAGATCGGCCCACCTCTGGCCGTTGTGGCCATTTGGGAAATGAACCAGACCCCTCTCTCTCTGTCTCTGCCTCTACCTCTCTGTAACTCTGCCTTTCAAATAAATAAATAAATCTTTAGAAAGAGAGAGAAAGAAAATCCAGAAGAACTGGGTCTGCTCAGTGGAGAAAAAGAAAGTTAACAACTACCATTTTTATGTTACAATATAATATTAGAATTGAATAGTAATCTTTTCAAAAAAATAAGGATAAAACAGAATTTGTATCCTCATTTTTAACATTATACCTTAAAATCTACATATTCTGCATGTAGAGACAAAAATCTGTTTTTATTCAATTAACATGAAGACTCTAATAATTTATAGTAAGAAAGGACGTAGAAAGAAAGATGGCAAAAAACTCATCTCCATTTACATGACACACTATAAATTTCCTACCTAATAACCATGTGTCCACCCTCCTTTGATAAAAATAATAAATACCCCCTAGTCCCGGTCGGGGCGCCGGATTCTGTCCCGGTTGCCCCTCTTCCAGGCCAGCTCTCTGCTGTGGCCAGGGAGTGCAGTGGAGGATGGCCCAGGTGCTTGGGCCCTGCACCCCATGGGAGACCAGGAAAAGCACCTGGCTCCTGGCTCCTGCCATCGGATCAGCGCAGTGCGCCGGCCCCAGCGCGCCGGCCGCGGCAGCCATTGGAGGGTGAACCAACGGCAAAGGAAGACCTTTCTCTCTGTCTCTCTCTCTCACTGTCCACTCTGTCAAAAAAATAAAAAATAATAATAATAAATACCCCTTTTTGTTTGGGAAAACAATGTGTCCAGCCTCAAGTTATGAGCTATGAGAATAGTCATTATGATAATCTACTCTACTTCCCAGGATCCCTTGCAGCCAAGAACAGTCATGTGACAAAACTGGCCCATTGTCCCAATACCCCCTAAAAATTACTAAAGAGAAATCTGGGATGGGAAATTCCAAGAAACTTTTGCATCCAAGACAATGAAAGGACAAATACATCTAGCACTAGTTTCATCCCATCCTCCACAAATGCAGACGTGACGTCTAAAATTGGATTTGTTATATCACATCCATGCTTCAAAGGCATGAGAGAAAGACCCAAGATAATCCCAGATAGATTGGTCCTACATCACTGGAAAACTAAACTAATGCTAACAACCAACCACCTCCAGACTTCTTACGTGAGGAAGAGCCAAAGAGCAGAGGGACAAATGCAAATTTCTTAATCCACAGTCAGGTGTTCAATTATTTTGTAGCCAAAAGCATTCCATAGATTAACTCTTCTTAGTTTATTTTATTTTACATGGATGGCAGAGGTCCAAGTACTTAAGCCTTCTTTTGCTGCTTTCCAAGGTGCATTACAGGGAACTGGACAGGAACTAGAGCAGCTGGGACATGAACTGGTGCCCATAAGGGATGCGGGCATAGCAGGTGACTGCTTAACCTACTATGCCACAATCATTCTTATTTTAAATTAACCAAATGTAAATATAAAGGATCAAAGATTGAGAAAAAAAACACTAGTTTACTATGGCAACAAGATCATCAAAATAAGGAAATTCTTTCTTGTTTTAATTCTTATTTCTATCAGTACAGCTACACATCCCTTAATAGTGGGGTTACACTCCAAGAAATACATCATTAGGTAATTTCATCAATGTGCTAACATCATAGAGTGAACTTATAGGAACTAAAATAGTTACAATGTCATTAGATAATATACTCTTATGGAACCACAATTATACATGTGGTCTGTCCTGAATCAAAATATCCTTATCCAGCATAACTGGACTATGGTAATGTTTGTATGATTACTTTTTAAAAAATAAGAGCTATATGGGTCCAGTATTGTGGCACAGTGGGTTAAGCCATTGCCTGCAATGCTGGTATCCCACATGGGCATTGGTTGTAGTCCTAGTTGCTCCACTTCTGATCCAGCTCCCTGTTAATGGCCTGTGAAAGCTGTGAGGGATGGCCCCAGTGCTTGGGCCCCTACACCCATGTGGGAGACTTGAAAGAAGCTCCTGGCTTAGGCCTGACCCAGCCCTGGCTGTTGGGGCTATATGGGGAGTAAATCAGCAGATGGAAGATCACTCTCTATGTCTCTCCTCTCTCTGTAACTCTGCCTTTCAAATAAATAAATAAATCTTTAAAAGCTCTATGTAGGGGGCCGGCACTGTGGCTCACTTGGTTAATCCTCCACCTGCAGCACCAGCATCCCATAGAGGCGCCGGGTTCTAGTCCCAGTTGTTCCTCTTCCAGTCCAGCTCTCTGCTGTAGCCTGGGAGGGCAGTGGAGGATGGCCCAAGTGCTTGGGCCCCTGCACCAGCTTCAGATCGGCACAGCAGCCATTTGGAGGGTGAACCAATGGAAGAAAGACCTTTCTCTCTGTCTCTCTCTCTATCTAGCTCTACCTGTCAAGTAAATTTAAAAAAAAAAAAGCTCTATGTAGCACATACCATATTTCTACTGGATAGTAATATTCTAGTGGTTATATATCTAAATTCAGATTAGAGATATCATTATCATACATTAATTGTTAATATTTGAAATACCTCCTGACCTTTTCACTTGATTGTCTTCTTTTCTTTAGCTGAATGAAATCTGTTTCCACCCTTTCTGCCAGCTCTAGTTTCCTCTTGTTTCTTTTAAATGCAGCTAAACTGAATCCTATAAAAGAAACATTAAAAATAACATTTAAGAAATATTAGGGCAAAAGGACTAATAAGATATCCTGAAGAGCCTTCCTAAAACAAAATCCTTAAGGATATTGAATTAAAAGTTTAAAAAGTCTTTTCAGAGGTGGGGATTGGGCCTAGTGGTTAAGATGTTGGTTAAGACACCCATATCTCATATTAAAACACCTGGGTTCAACTTCCAACTTTGGCTCCTAAGTGCAGGTTCCTGGTAATGTGGACCCTGGGAGGCAGCAATGATAGCTCAAGTAACTGGGTTCCTGCCATCAACATGGCAGAATTGGATTGAGTTTCTGGCTCCCAACTTTGGTCATGGCCCAGCCACAGCCACTGGGAACATTTGAGGAATGAACCAACAGATGGGGGAACTCACATGCTCTCTCTCACTATATACATATATGCGTGCGTGCACACACACACACACACACAAACACACACGTATGTGTCTGCCACTCAAATAAATTTTATTATTTTTTATTATTATTTATTTGATAGAGTTAGACAGTGAGAGAGAAAGACAGAGAGAAAGGTCTTCCTTCCGTTGGATCACCACCCAAATGGCCGCTACGGCCGGAGCTATGCCGATCCAAAGCCAGGAGCTAGGTGATTCCTTCTGGTCTCCCATGCGGGTGCAGGGCTCAAGTACTTGGGCCATCCTCCACTACCTTCCTGGGCCACAGCAGAGAGCTGGACTGGAAGAGGAGCAACCGGGACTAGAACCCAGCACCCATATCGGATGCTGGTGCCGCAGGCAGAGGATTAAACAAGTGAGCCACGGCGCTGGCCCATAAATATTAAAGAGGTCATTTCAACATATTGTGAGCTAGTATGAGAATAAGAAACAATCTGGGACTGGCGCTGTGATGCAGCAGGTTAAAGCCCTGGCCTGCAGTGCCAGCATCCCATATGGATACCAGTTCAAGTCCTGGCTGCTCCACTTCCAATCCAGCTCTCTGCTATGGCCTGGGAAAGCAGCAGAAGATGGCCCAAGTCCTTGGACCTCTGCACCCGCATGGGGGACCTGGAAGAAGCTCCTGGTTCCTGGCTCCTGGCTCCTGGCTTCAGATTGGTGAAGCTGCAGCCATTGCAGCCATTTGGGGAGTGGACTGTAACTCTACCTCTCAAATAAATAAACAAAAGAAAAAAACAATCTAAGATTAAAAAATTGAAAAACATTCAAACTCAGATATAAGCAAGCACTGAAAGTAGACATTCCCCATCTACCAAAGCATGCCACCACCACTTGTGGTTTTTGAAGGTCTCCACGCAAAGGAGACAAAAGATGAAACTTAGGGACAATGTAGCATGAGAAAATATACTGGAAGTTTTCCACCACACACACACACACACACACACACACAAAAGGAAATTCCAATGATTGATATCCCCAGGGAATAGGATGACAAGAAAATGCCACTGGGCCAGCGCTATGATATAGCCGCTCTAATAAGCCACAGCCTGCAGTGCCGGTATCCCTCATGGGTGCTGGTTTGTGTCCCAGCTGCTCCACTTCCAATCCAACTTCCTGCTAATACACCTGGGAAAGTAGCAGAAGATGGCCCAAGTCCTTTGGGCCCCAGCATCCAAGTGGGAGACCTGGAAGAAGCTCCTGGATCCTGGCTTCAGAATGGCCTAGCCCTGGCCACTGCAGTCATTTTGGGAATGAACCAGCAGATTGAATATCTCTCTGTCTCTCCTCTCTCTCTAACTCTACCTTTCAAATAAATAAATAAATAAATAATTTTTTTTTTTAAAAAAAGCCACCATACACAAAGAAACAGAAAACTTGCAAGTCTCAAATTTGGATCTAAAAGTTTCCCCCAGTAAATCCACGACTAAAGAGAGTATTGGAAAATTCATGTTACTGTATAGCCTCAAGAAAACTAAACAAAAACACAAAACCAAACATGATCTTTGTGTAACAATGCTTCAACAAGCTCTCTGAACACAAATGCAAACCCTGGAAAAATGCATACATCCTAACCTACTCAGACCTCAAAGGATTCTCAGTGATTTGATTACCACATGCCCTTAGTTTAAAAAGAAAAATTCATAAAACACATGAAAAATGAATGACAAAAAAAATTTTTAAATAAGTCAGCCAAGTATCAGAAGTATATAATCTGATATTCAAAACTACCAGGATAATCAGATATAGAACAAAATATTTATGCTTTTTTATTTTTTTATTTTTAATTCACTTGAAAGATAGAGTTACAGAGAGAGAGATATCTACCATCCACTGGTTCACTCCCCAAATGACTGTAATGGCCAGAGCTGAGCTGATCCGAAGCCAGAAGCCAATAGCCTCTTCTGGGTCTCCCATGTGGGTACATGGGTCCAAGGACTTGGGCCATCTTTTACTGCTTTCCCAGGTCATACCAGAGAGCTGGATCAGAAATGGAGCAGCTGCGACTCAAATCCAGCATGCATATGGGATGCCCGGCGACACAGGCTGGGGCTTTAACCCACTATGCCACAGTGCCAGCCTCAGAATATAATATTTGTTTATGCTCCAATAAATGATAGGCATATACCAAAAATATGACTGAAGAGCAAAAGATGACAAAATGACTAGGGTAGACTTGAAGAAGCAAACCGAGCTTCTTCAAAAACAGAAATATGGGGCTGCTGTTGTGGTATAACGGGTTAAATCCACAGCCTGCAGTTCCAGTATCCCATATGGGCACCGTTTTGTGTCCCTGACACTCCACTTCCAACCCAGCTGCCTGCTAATGTGCCTGGGAAAGCAGTGGATGATGGTTCAAGTCCTTTTGCCCCTGCACCCACGTAGAAAACCTGGATGGAGCTCCTGGCTCTAGCTTGGCCCAACCCCTGCCAATGCAGCCATTTGGGAAGTGAACCAGCAAATGGAACATTTCTCTTTATATCTCCCCCTCTCTCTAACTCTGCCTTTCACATAAATCTTTATTTTAAAAACATAAATATATATAATAATCAAAATTATAAAACCTTACATATAGATTTTAATAGTCTTTAGATACAGCTTATTAAATTTGATGAATAAGAAAAATGACAAACTGGAACATAACACTACAGAGGTTACTGAAGTTTTCTGATAACAGCAGACTAAGTAACTGAAGTAAATCTCCAATTACCAAATTAAAATTCAATTGATAAAATATGGAAAATACTACCTTAAAAACATTACAAGAACTACCAAGCTAAATTCAAGGAATTATCTGAGGACTAAAGTTGTCATTTCACTGTGAGTATTTGCCAACATTAGTACATACAAGTTAGGTTAACTGGCATCAAGGAGAGGTAAAGGACAAGTCCAGGGCCCATTAAAGATTGAGACGTAACAGAAACTAAGCTAGGAATGGGCTAATTAACAGAGACTAAGCTAATACCCTCATGGAAAGGCTGATTCAAAACTCAAAGTCCATCCAACCCTGTATCCCAACATGAGGCAAGATTATTCTAAATCATAGCAGAGCATAGGAGGAAGATGAGGATGAAAGGATTGGAAGGGTTGGGGGGAAACTCTGAGAATTTTTGGTCTGTTTAAGGCCCTTGCACTGGCTTGAAAATATACACCTTGTGAAGTCCCAGAAGAAGAAACAAAAAGAGGTCTAATTTGAAGAAAGAATGGCTGAAAACTTGTTACATTTGATGAAAAACATAAATATCAATATCCAAGAGCACAATGAACTAAAAGCAGGAAAACTCAGATACCAGTACACATTATAATCAAACTGTCAGAAAGTAAAGACAGGGGCTAGCATTGTGGCTTAGAGTTAACCTGTCACCCACAGCATTGGCTTGAGTTTCAGCTGCTCCACTCCTGATCCAACTACCTGCTAGTGTGCCTGGGAAAGTGCTTGGGCCCTGCACCCACATGAAAGACTAGGAAGAAGATTCAGTCTGACCCAACCCTAGTCACTATAGCCATTTAGGGAGTGAACCAGCAGATGGAAAATCCCTGTCTCTCCCTTTCTATCTATAACTCTGCCTATCAAATAAATAAATCTTTAAAATAAATAAAGACCAAAGACAAAGAGGGTCATTATAGAAGATCATCACACACTGGGGACCCCAATAAAAATAAAAACAAATTTCTTATCAGAAACTTTGGAGGCCAGAGGCATTGGTTTATTAATTAAAAGTGCTGACTATACAGAAAGAAAACCACTCTTAAGCACATCACATTAAACTGCCTCAGCAGCTGGGAGCTGTCTCTCTACTTCTCTCTTTGAATCTCTGTTTCCACTCCCTCCCTCTCAAATAAAGAAAAACAATTTTTAAAAAATCAACAGTTCCTCCTTCTTCCCTCTATCCCCATTTCCCTCTGTCATTCTGCCTTTCAAGTAAATACAAATAAACTTAAAAAACAGATCGCTGTATCACTTAACTTTAAAATGCATTTATTTATGCAGAGAACATATCTTGCTACTCATTTATGTAAATTCTAAGAAACCTGTGCTATACTATATTTTTCTTGCTACGAACAAAATATTGTTGTACAGTCAAAAATATTTTTGTCATTCTGCAAAATCTAGTAATAGCCATTTTGCAACTCTTTTACATAAATATTGTAAAGTAAAATTGGCAGGCTAAACATGAATTTACTCCCACATCCTACTAAAACCAAAAAGAAATTCAAGAAACAAAAAGGTTTAAATAGGCAAAGTAGAGATGACAGTAATGATGATAATGATAAGAGTAATTACAATATAATTTTAGGAAATGGTAAGTAATTGAGAAAGAAAGCAGAACCCTGATGTCTGGAAGCCAGGACACTTTTGCCAGAGAAATATCAGAAGAGCTCAGAATAGAAAGCACTTGCTATCTCTGAAAGCCAGGCTGGGATTAAAAACAGGAGAACTGTGGCCAGGGCTGTGGTGTAGAAAGTTAAACCTCCACCTGCAGTGCCAGTATTCCATATGGGCACTGGTTTGAGTCTTAGCTGCTCTACTTCTGATCCAGTTCCTTACTAATGAACCTGGGAAAGCAGTGGAAGATGACCCAAATTTTTGGGCCCCGTACCAATGTGGGAGATCCAGCAGAAGCTCTTGGCTCCTGGCTTCCGCCTGGCTCAGCCCTGGCAACTGGGGTCATTTCAGAAGTGAACCAGCAAACAGAAGATATATTTATCCCTTTCTCTCTCTCTCTTTCCATCTGTATCTCTGCCTTTCAAATAAAATTTTTTTAATTAATTAAAAAAAAAAAACAGGAAAACTAGCACAAAATGTCAATAAGGAATATCTACCTAGATACCCAAATCCACTTCTCATGCTTATGAAAATATGAAGTTTACTCTTCTGAGATTTTGAATCAGATAGGCCCCAAATTAATGGAAATCAGGAAGAGCTGGTTTCAGGGCATGCAGCAGGTTTCACTAAAAAAGAAGGTTTACATAAAAGTCTGAAAAGGGAGAGGTCAGCCCTCCAGCCCCTTCCCTTGGTCTGTAACCAATATACTGGCTATTGTCCTGCTGGAGCTGAGAGATTTCTGATAGATCCAAAACAAAAAAACACAGAAGATTCTGCCAGAACAACAGCTAGAAGATTCCCCCAACAAAAACACCTGGTCCTATAACCCACTTTGAGGTCAACAAGATCTGCCCTCACTCACAAAGCTTATATGGCTTATAATTGCCCCACAAATGAATTGTGAAAACAGCAGGGGGCCAGTGCTGTGGGACAATAGGCTCAGTCTCCACCTGCAATGCCAGAATCCCATATGGGCGCTGGTTCTAGTCCCAGCTGCTCCTCTTCTGATCCAGCTCTCTGTTATGGCCTAGGAAAGCAGCAGAGGATGGCCCAAGTCCTACTTAGCTTTTCTCCAGAAATTCTTGCCAATTTACATTTGAACCTACAATGCACACATACTGGCAGTGATGTTATTTAACTCTTTCACATATAAAAAGGGAACATTAACATGTACTATTTTAATTCCAATTTCTCTACTGGTTATGTTATGATATCTATATAAGACTTTTGACTACTTTTCTATTTGGCTATTATTCTACTTGTGTGGTTTTTAATCTGGTAAACTTCTTCATAGATTAAGGATGTTTATCACTTTGTCATATTTGTGACAAATGTTTTTCAGTTTTAACTGTTTTTCAGTTATGTGTCACAGTTTTGCTTTTTATTCCACTTGTATTTGAACCTAAAAAGCCCTTCCTCTGCTCAAGAACTGTTACAAATGTTAACCTGTGGAAGAGGACTTTTGGAGGAACAGTTAAGACCCCTACATCAGATATTTGAGTGCCTAGGTTAAAGTCCCAGCTCCATTTCTGAGTTCAGCTTCCAGCTAACGCTCATTCTGGGAGGCAGTGGGTGATAACTTAAGAAATTACGTATTTGGCATACATGTGGGAGACCCAAATTGAGTTCCAGGCTCCTGGCTTCCATCTGGCCCAGCCCTGGTGTTATGAGAGTAAACCAGTAGATGAAAGACCTCTGTCTCTGCATCTCAAATAAATTTTAAAATTTGTTAAAAAATTTTTTTAAAATATTAACCATGTTAGCCTCCTCTCTCTGTAGTTTTTAAAACTATAGTTTTATTAGTAATAATTGTTTTATGTAACCTAAAAAGGATCTTAAAGCAATACTTCTATAAAAGCATGATAAAGCAACAGAGAGACATCAAGAAACATTTCAACATGTAAGCTTCCTTCCTTAAATATCTACTGCAGGGTCATAACAGAAACAATGTAACACTTTCAGGCATATATGTTCATATGACTTAATTTTTTAAAAGTTTTTACTCACTTGTAGTCATGATGTTAGGAGGGCAAGAGGGTATTCCATGATCTACTGCCCATCTGTAGGCTCCTTCTCCAACTAAAAAGCTAACAGAAAAATCATTCTTTTAAAAATTTACAGTGTCACCTTCCACATATTCAATAAATATTGTAAATAAACTTTAAAAAATTCTGCACAGACATAATTCTAGATTTATTTCAAAATAATACACGACTATATGGTCAAAAATTCTATGAACTTTTCCTCAAATCAGAAATACTATAGTATTATTTGTAATAACAAATAAGTAAAAATGTAACATAACAAAAAAGTAAAAATGGTGACTTCCCACATGGAAAATACTAAGATTTATCTTGGATCAACATGGTTCTCAGTTAATGTAACAAGATCTATTTAATAAGGTTAAGTGTCTAAGATTAAGGGTTGGCATTGTGGCAGAGCAGGTTAAGTTACAGCCTGTGATGCTGGCATCTCATATGAGCACTGGTTCCAGTCCTAGCTCTCTCATTTCTGATCCAGCTCCCTGCTGATGCCCCTGGGGAGGTAGTGGAGGCTGTCCAAAGTACTTGAGCCCCTACCAGCCATGTGGAAGACCAGAATGGAGTTCCAGGCTCCAGGTTTCAGCCTGGCCCAGTCCTAGCAGTTGCAGTCATCTGGGGAGTGAACCAGATGATAGAAGTTCTCTCTCACTCTCTCTCCCTCTCCTCCTCTCTATAACTCTGCCTTTCAAACAAATGTTAAAAAAAAAAATCTAAGATTAAATAAATATCTTCAGATTTGGTATTTTTCCCTAGTAGAATACTTTGATCCACCCCAAATATGTAGATATTATCTAGAGATATCCAAACATAATGATATGATTGCATTTCTAAGACTTGATGCAAGAAAAATGTACACATAACCCTTAGAATTATCTTTACTGTGGTAAGAAAAGAACTATGGTATGTCCCAAAAGCCCTAATCTGCACGTTTTAATGTAAAATGGTGAACAATAACTATAAAAGAGTTATTTTCAAGATAATTAACTACCCCACTCTCTTAAGTAATTTGAGTAAGCAAAGAGTCATAACAAGCAGTTACCATAATAAATCACTTCATCTTCTTCCACAGACACTTCTCAAAAGATTTCAGCTAGCTAGAAATGGATTCCTTGAACTTATGCCTACTTGCGAAGTTTCCCACTCTGTCTTTTGTTTCTCTTCTTCTAATCATTCCAACAGTAAAAACTCACAGTTAAACACACAGAAACCTTAAGATTTAATCATTAATAGGAAGACTAGTTACAGAATGGCAAAATTAAATCTAAGTACACCCTGAGACACTTATTCAAATGGTCCCAACAAGAAACTAAATGATTAATCACAAGTAACTGCTTGCCAATATACATTTAGTTGGAAATGGGGAGACTATTGAAAAAAAATGAGGGCTAGTAATAAACAACTTTAGTTCTTCAAATCTCTTTTTAAAAATTTAAGAGATTCTGAAAATAAATAAGTTTTTCCTACTCTTGTTCCAAATGAAGATCACTGGCAAGGAAAAGCCAGTAGATAAAGTTCAAATGTTAAAATTACAGAAATAAAAACTTAGATGCATATTTGAGTTGTCCTGATGGCATTTTGAGTTCTTCCTTCTTCTAGAAAAAGAATTTGATAAAAGAAATAATTTATTTTCATGTGAAGATTTAAGAGATGCTAAAACAGTACACTAAATTATCAACACAGAAGTTTATAACTGACTCTAACATTGTCAGCACTCTCATTACTTATTTTGGATTTAATTCTAGTATCTGCAGCATTCTGAAAAATATCTTAGCTTTATTTTTCACTTCTCCACAATTCATAGGTTTGATTCTAAAGGAAATCAATTTACTCTTGTGTACTCTGCAAGTTTTTCTCATATATTAAGCATTTTAAAATATTCATAGGAAAGTGGACATTTGGAAGTCATTTCACAGGTAAACATACCAAATACCTGACCTTTCCTTACTACCAAAAATTATTGTGTAGGGCCGGCACTGTGGCTCACTAGGCAAATTCCCTCATGTGCTCAAATATTCCTCTTTAGTGAAGTTTGTCTAAAAATACACCCAAACACACTATATTCCCCTACCCATTGCTCCCCATCTCCCTCAACCTGCTCTTCTTACACTGTTTTTTTTCTACCTTCTAACATACTACATACTTGATAATTTATTAATATAATATTGAATATTATATCTGTTGACTTATTTCTGTTTCTAACTTATAAACTGTAAGCTTCATAAAGGTAAGACCTTTGGTTTTTCATCTATAAATTTCAAGCATTTCAGAATAATTCTTGAAGAGTACTAAACTTTACATAAACATTATCAAAATATTAAACAGAATTTAAAACTTAGAATGTCAAACCTCCCTAAAGGATAGCACTATATTTGTGTTATACTCAGTTTAATTTACATTTAAGTAGGTCTAAAATATTAGGAAACAAAAAGCAACAACAAGCTACTGAGACCAGCACTAAGGTGGGGGTGATTATAGCACTCAACAAGCTGAGCTGCGAGTATGATCCCAAATATCTACAGAGCAAAACACAGTGAAAGGGGCTATCTGAACAAAGATTCGTATGATGATGGGAACTAACAAGCTTAAAGATGAGAATCATCCACTTTCAAGGAACTATGTCTCTAAAATCACTCTAAAAGTGTTAAACTTAGTGATTCAGAAACTCTCGAGGATCCTCAGAGACTGCAAAAATCAAAATGTACTATTTTGAATAAGAGAAATATAGGACAAAATAATAGCTAGTTTTTAGGACTTCAAACTGTATCTGAGGCCGGTGCTATGGCGCAGTAGGTTGATCTTCCGCCTGCAGCACCAGCATCCCATATGGGCGCGTTTCTAGTCCCAGCTGCTCTACTTCCAACCCAGCTCTCTGCTGTGGCCTGGGAAATCAGTAGAAGATGGCCCAAGCACTTGGGCCCCTGCACCCACATGGGAGACCTGAAAAAGCTCCTGGCTTTGGACAGGCTCAGTTCCGGTCATTGTGACCATTTGGGGAGTGAACCAGCGGATGGAAGACCTCTCTCCCTCCCTCCCTCCCTCTCTTCCTATATGTAACTCTACGTCTCAAATAAATTTAAAAAAAAAAAAAAACTGCTATGTGTTTTGTCTATCACTTCATCTATTATAAGTGAGGAGCCTTCAAAAAGATCATGGAAAATGTGTATTATGAAGAAACTGTATTTGGATTTCAAAAAAATCTTATACCAAAATAAACTTATCTTTTAATTCCATTTCCCATTTGTGATACCCAAATATAAAACTGAAAATAGGCAAATTAGGCTATGATTATTCAAACTTTATAGACACAAAGTACAAATAAAGAATAATTTGCTATATTTGGAATTCATATATAACAACCAAATTAAATAGTAAGAAGAGAACTTTTTCTATAATTGTTTATTAGAGAAATTTTCAAACATGTATAACTGTTATGACCTGAATGTTTATGTTCCCTCCAAAATTCATATTTTGAAATCCTAACCAATGGCAAAAGGAAGACCTTTCTCTCTTTCTCTCTCACTGTCCACTCTGCCTGTCAAAAAAAAAAAAAAAAAAAAAAAAAGGAGGTGAGGCCTTTTGTACATGTGATTAGGTCATGAGGGGAGATGCCTACTAAATGGAATCAGCGCCCTTAAAAAAGCAGGCTACCCCAAATGCCTATCCCAGAATTTTTTTTTTTGTAAACTACTACATTTTTATAGTGAAATTCCAGGTAAGTGAGAGATTTCTACTTCAAGATGAGATAGAGTAACAGGGAGTAATTTATCCTCTTGCCCAAACCAATGGAAAAAAGAAAAAAAAGACAAAATACAGAAAGCAACAATTAAATATTAAACTTCAGGCAATATAGAACAGTAATCCTTGAGAGAAAGGGAACAACATAAATGCTACGACTGATTGTTTTACTGCAATTATTACTCATTACCACCTAGATAGCTTCTGAAAGGACCCAGCACAAGAGTCCAGCAGTCTCTCTGCATTGAAGAAACAAACCTAGGCATCCAGAGATGCCAAAGTTCACAAGAAAAGTACCAGATCAGGGGCAAGAGTCTCAGTGAGTAAATGAGTAAATGCCTGCAATGCCTGCACCACATATGGGAGCCATTTCAAGAACCAGCTACTCTACTTCCGATCTAGCTCCTTGCTAATGCACCTGGGAAAGCAGCAGAAGATGGCCCAAGTACTTGGGCCCCTGTACCCACATGGGAAACCCAGAAGAAGCTCCTGGCTCCTGGTACGGCATGGCCCGGCCCCAGCCATTATGGGCCATTTCAGGAGTGAGCCAGTGATGGAAGGTATCTCTCTCTTTCTCTCTCCTTCTCTTCTTCTCTCTCTGTAACTCCAACCTTCAAATAAATAAAATAAATCTTTAAAAAAAAAAAAAAATACCAGAGAGGAGAGAGCTACAAACAGAAAGCACTCCAGAAATCTGTAGGCAGTATTCCTCTGGTCTTCAACTGAGTAGAGATCCATGCAAGTTTAAGGGGCAATTTCTCGCCGGCGCCGTGGCTCTCTAGGCTAATCCTCCACCTAGCGGGGCACCAGCACACCGGGTTCTAGTCCCAGTCGGGGCGCCGGATTCTGTCCCGGTTGCCCCTCTTCCAGGCCAGCTCTCTGCTGTGGCCTGGGAGTGCAGTGGAGGATGGCCCAAGTCCTTGGGCCCTGCACCCCATGGGAGACCAGGAGAAGCACCTGGCTCCTGCCTTCGGATCAGCGCTGCGCTGGCCGCAGAGCGCCAGCCACGGCGGCCGTTGGAGGGTGAACCAACAGCAAAGGAAGACCTTTCTCTCTGTCTCTCTCTCTCGCTGTCCACTCTGCCTGTTCAAAAAAAAAAAAAAAAAGGCAATTTCTCAAAGTATTGGAATGAATAAGCTGAAACTTCTAAAGGAAACAATCCTCAGGTACAGACAGGGCCAGGAACAGCTCCTGCTCTCCCCAGCCAAGGTAAAAAGACACATACTGGGTACATCTGTTAGAGTAATCCAAAAGGTTTTACCTCAATAGCAAGGCAAAATTAGCTCAAGGCCAAATGCATCTCTAGTCTC